TTCAATTCCAGACCTGAAAGCAGCTAGGGGCCATAGTCTCATTGGTTTCACCAGACTCTATCAGACCAGCAAACCTGGTCTCTATTTTTTTTCCCTCCAAATGATTTTGAGTTTTGTTCCACATTGTTCTCCCTCTCTATCCAGGATCTCCTACATAGATCCCCCTCTGAGTGGTTGGCAGTGGTAGCCAGGCACTGTCTAGTTCTTCTGGTCTCATAGTCATATAGGCTGCAGGTCACGTGGTATACCAGTCCCTTGGACTAGTTTTTTCCATGACTTTTTGGTTTTCATTATTTTTCTTTACTCTGGACAAGGAAGGACCCATTGTTGCATCTAGATGGCTGCTTGCAAGGTTTTAAGGTCCCAGTCACTACTTGCCAAAGTAGGAGGTGGAATAATGTTTTGTGTAGTATGTTATGCCAATTGACCTTGATGTCCCCTGCAACTATGGTCCTGAGGCCACAGGTCCAACTACTCACTCCCTCTGGTTAGCTGGCTGTGGCCAGGAAGTGACTACCATCTTGTCCCTTGTCAGCTCTACTATATACCTGGGAATTCTTATAGAACATACCAATACACTTGTAGAGCCATTGTCTGCCAACCCTATACATGGTCTTGGGGACATTCCCCCCTGCATAGACATACCTAATAGTTCAGCCTGCCCACCCATCTATCCACCTGTATACTAATGTTTGCCTTCACTGACAACGCAGTACTGTATGTGCAAAAGGGTTCATCTTTGTTGTCTATACCTCCCATGTACCTCTCTATGTCTTCCTCTTCTTAATGCCACTATGTTAATCACTCACATTTGATACATTGCCCTTCTCTTCACCCAAATCAATACTTACCTCTACCTATCTAACAGTGTTGCTTTTCATTTTTAAGATAATATTTTCAACAGTACAAAAGTAATACATGTCAGTTTTAAGAGAAAAATAGAAAAGTGGAGAAAAGAACAGAGAGAAAAATAAACAAACCTAGAAGACAATTATTAACATTTGGCATGTATATACTTACAGTGTATTTATAATGCTTAGATGTACTTAAAAAAAAAAAAGGATTCCTACATTAAGCTGTACAATATGTATATATACCAACACATTTGTGCATCATAAATACCTTTTCTCATGTCATTAACTATTCTCAAATGACTGTATGCTGTCGTTGATGTTAGGTGCGCTTGATTTGGTTACAACTCATAGTGACCCTATGTTCAACAGAACAAAACACTGCCTGATCCTGTGCCAGCCTCACAATCCTTTCTACACCTGAGACCATCCTGGTAGCCACTGTGTCAATCCATCTTGTTGAGGGTCTTCCTCTTTTTCACAGACCCTCCACTTTACCAAGTATCATATCCTTCTCCAGGGAATGGTCCCTTCTGACAAAATGACCAAAGTAGGTGAGACGAAGTCTGGCCATTCTCTCTTCCAAGGAGCATTCTGGCTGTACTTCCACGAGGACAGATTTGTTAGCTCTTTTGGCAGTCCATGGCACTTTCAGTAGTCTTCGCCAACACCACAACTCAAAAGCATCAACTCTTCTTCAGTCTTCCTTATTCATTGTCCAGCTTTCATATGCATATGAGGCAATTGAAAATACCATGGCTTCAGTTGTTGTTGTTATGTGCCGTCGAGTCATAGCGACCACTCCTTGGGTTGCCAAGGCGGTATCACCAAGGAAGTAGATTGCCCAACCTTCCTTCCGAGGAGTGGCTGGTGGATTTGAACCACCAGCCTTCTGGTTAGCAGTCAAGTGCCTTAGGTACTATGCTACCAGAGCTTGGGTGAGGCACACCTTACTTTTCAAAGAGACATCTTTACTCTTCAGCACTTTATAGATGTCTTTTGCAGCAGATTTGCCCAGTGCAATGCATAATATGATTTCCTGACTGCAGCATCCATTGATGTGTTGATTGTGGAACCAAATAATATGAAATCTTTGACAACTTCAATCTTTTCTCCATTTACATTGATACTGCTTATTGGTCCAGTTGTGAGGATTTGGAACTCTCGTAGCCTAGTGCCTAAGCCACTTGGCTGCTAACCAGAAGGCTGGTGGTTCAAACCCACCAGCCACTCCTTGGAAGGAAGTTTGGGCAATCTACTTTCATAGTGATACTGCCTTGGAAACCCAAGGAGGGGTCACTATGAGTTGGGTCTGACTTGATGGCACATAACAACAACAACAACAATCCATACTGCAGATTGTAGTTTTTAATTTTCATCAGTAAGTGCTTCAAGTCATTTTCACTTTTGACAAGCAAGGCTATGTCATCTGCATATCGCAGGTTATTAATGAGTCTTCCTTCAACACTGATACTGTGTTCTTCTTCCTATAATCTAGCTTCTCAGGTTATTTGTCAGTATACAGATTGGATAAGTATGGTGAAAGGATACAACCCTGACACACTCCTTTCCTGATTTTAAAGCATGCAATATCCCCTTGTTCTGTTCTAACAACAGCCTTTTGGTCTATGTACAGGTTCCTAATGAGCACAATTAAGTGTTCTGGAATCCCCATTCTTCTCAATATTATCCATAATTTGTTATGGTCTACACAGTTGAATGCTTTTGCATAGTCAATAAAACACAAGGAAAATCTTTCTGGTATTCTTTGCTTTGAGCCAAGATCCATCTGACATCAGCAATGATATCCCTCATCCCATGTCCTCTTCTAAATCCAGCTTGCATTTCTGTAGGTTCCCTGTCAATATACTGATGTAACTGTTTTTTGTTTTTTTTTTTTGAATTATCTACAACAAAACTTTACTTGCATGTGGTATTCATGATATTGTTAGATAATTTCCACATTCTGTGGGATCACCTTTCTTTGGAATGGGTACAAATATGGATCTCTTCCAGTCGGCTGGCCAGGTATCTGTTTTCCAAATCTCTTGGCATGGACAAGTGAGTCCTTCAGTGAGGCATCCATTTGTTAAAGCATCTCAAAAGGTATTCCATCAATTCCTGGAGGCTTGTTTTTCACCAGTTCCTTCGGTGAAGCTTTGACTTCTTCCTTCAATACCACTGGATCTTGATCATACGCTACCTCCTGAAATGGGTTAACATCAACCAATTCTTTTTGGTATAGTGACTCTGTGTAGTCTTTCCATCTTCTTTTGATATTTCCTGCATCATTCAATATTTTGCCCATAGAAGCTTTCAATGTTGCAACTTGAGGCTTGAATTTTTTCTTCAGTTCTTTCAGCTTGAGAAATGTTAAACGTGTTCTTCCCTTTTCATTTTCTAACTCTGGGTCTTTGCACATTTCCTTATAATAATTAATTTTGTCTTCTTGAGCTGCTCTTTGAAATCTTCTGTTCAGTTCTTTTATCTTGTCATTTCTTCCATTTGTTTTAGCTACTCTCTGTTCAATGGCAAGTTTCAGAGTCTCTTCTGACATCCATTTTGGTCTTTTCTTCCTTTCCTCTCTTTTTAATTACCTTTTTCTTTCTTCAAGTATGATGCTCTTGATGTCATCCCACAATTCATCTGGTTTTTGGTCATTGGTGTTCAATGTACCAAATCTATTCTTCAGATGGTCTCTAAATTCACGTGGGATATAATTAAGATCATATGTTGGCTCTTGTTGACTTGTTTTAATTGTCTTCAACTTAAACTTCAAGTTGCATATGAGCAGTTGATGGTCTGTTTCAAATCAGCTCCTGGCCTTCTTTTGGCTGAAGATACTGAGTTTCTCCTTCACCTCTTTCCACAGATGCAGTCAATCTGATTCCTGTGTATCCCATCTAGTGAAGTCCATGTGTATAGACTCCATTTATGTAGTTGAAAAAGGTGTCTGCAATGAATATCACCAAGGCCATATTTTTCAATGGTTCTTCTTTCTTTCCAACTTTTGCATTCCAATCACCAGTAATAGTCAATCAATACATCGTGATTGCATATTTGGTCAATTTCAGACTGAGAAGTTGTTAAAAATCTTCAAATTCCTCATTTTTGGCTCTGATCCATAAATTTCAATAATGCAGTATTAATTGGTCTTCCTTGTAGGCATATAGATAGTATCCTGTCACTGACAGCATTGCATTTCAGGATAGATCTTGAAACATTCTTTGTAACAATGAATGCCACACCATTCCTCTTCAATTTGTCAATCAGGCATAGTAGATCATATGGTTGTCTGATTCAAAATGGCCAAAATCAGTGGGCTATCGTTATGCTTTATTTTTCACATAAGATGAATAATAATGTTATCCTTCGCTAATTTTAATCAAGGTTGAAAATCTTAATAACTCAACTCACTGCCTTTGAGTTGGATCCAATTCCTAATGACCCCTCTTTAGGTTTCCAAGGCAGTATCACTACGAACATAGATTGCCCAGTTTTCCTTCCAAGGAGTGGCTGGTAGGTTTGAACCACCAGCCTTCTGGTTAGCAGTCAAATACCTTAGGCACTATACCACCAGAGTGACTGAAAATCTTAATGTATTTATTAAAAAACAAACAAACAAACAAAACAACAACAACAAAAAAAACAAGCTCACTGCCATTGAGTCTATTCTAACTTATAGTGACCCCTTTGGATTTCTGAGGCAGTAAATCTTTGGGAGCTCTGGTAGCATAGTGGCTA